ATATACACATATGCACATATATATATATATATATATATATATACATATACACATATATATATATAAACATATACACATATATATATACACACATTTACACACATATATATATACACACATATACACACATATATATATATATATATACATATACACATATATATACATATACATATATATATATATACTCATATACACACTCATGTGTGTGTGTGTGTATGTATGTATTATAATACACACATACATACACATACATTCACATTTACAAACATACAATACATATGTGTGTGTATTTATACCACAAAAGGCATATACTGGGCATTTGGTAAAACCTACTAAAAAGCAAAGTAAACGAGTAATGATGGTTCTAAGTTTTTATTTTTATAGATGTCTTTGATTTTAGTTTCGTTTTATAATTTTTGTAGTTTGTATTGTCATTGTTTTGTTTTTGTTTAATGAAATAAACAAACTGAAATGAATACCCCACAACGAACATTGCATTTGCTATTCTGGAATAAATGTATAAATAATCTATAAAATTACTAACCTCCAATGACGCATCTCGCTTCTCCTTCACAGACTTTTTCTCCTGGGGTAGGCATCAGGAAACACTTTAAACTATTAAACACTTTACAAATGTTTTCCCTTACCTCCTTATTTTCTTTACCTTGTTCATTATCAGTGGTGTCCTATCAAGTCCAGAGAGATATATAGTGAGATAAAAAATGCATCAAAGATAATGTTACCCATGTAAAAAACCTTCATATATTTAAATAACTTTACTTCAAATCAAAATTATAGTAATATAAAATACTCTTATTCTTAATTGTTGTCAAGAAAGTGTTTTATTGTATTTATTTATGTATTTTTTTTGTATTCATTCATTCATTAAATCATTCATTACATCCGGCACAAAATCACAAATTAAAAATGGCCAGAGTAGTGCTAAGGGGACACTATGGGCTGAGAGCCCAATACAAGATGTGGGTATCCTCTAGACACCCTGACTAAAGATGTATAAAATATATTACAAAAACAGTAGAGGCAAGACAATAACATATTACAATATTTGCCTATAGAAGATTGATAACATATGAAAATTTACAAATAAAAAGTTAAGAACAGGGGTGAATTTCATTCTGTAAAACAGTAACTGTTAAAATACCAATAAAACTTAAATTAGGGGATTAAATCGAGGAAATACGATAAACAACTATTTTAAATGTTTAAACTTTAATAATTACAGAATTTAAAAAGCTCAATATTAAACAGGATGATTATTGTTTCTTAATATATTTCTATCAAAAATAAAATCAGATATGTTCCTAAAAAAAGGTAATAATCAATTAAGATTACAAGTTTTTACTTGGGTTAAGTTGTAAAAATTTCCAAAAGAAGTGTTCTTTGTCACCTTAACCTAGTACCACTTAAACTTAAATTGTTATTTGTTACATTTCACAAAGTAAACCATACTGTACACAATAACCGCAGTTAAATATTCTCATTTTTAATTGTATACTTCTGTGTGTATACTGGGATAAATTTTAAGCGAAACTAACCATGCACTTTTTTAGGTATTGTTCTCCTCCATCTTCACCAAAGGTAAACTCTTTTTTACCCCGCCAATCCCGAATAAGAAACAACATCGTCTGTAAGTAATAATTAGTGTGATAAAATATACATACTGTAGTAGCTTATCATTATAGGATAATGCAACTGTACATTGTTAAAAGAATCACATTCAAAATTCAATCTCAATTTTAGAGAATTAAATAATTCTGAAAGTTACACAGATGGAACACATAATAATGTACTACTGTTTACAGTACTTGTTGTCAAAGCTAAGAGGACCTATTTCTTGTAAAAGTAGTTGCCATCATCAATATTAACTGTTATAGGATGCAAATTTTCGCATAAATCCAGCCTACTGATTGAGTTTTGATAGCTGTATGGCGAGTCGGATCGAGCGGATTGGATTGCATTGGATTTATTCGGTGTAAACACCAAGTTTAGCCCACGAACGTCTAGAAGAAGACTTATTTCCATTGGGGATTGGACAGTACACCGGGAGACAATCCCCTACTCTTTTCAGAAGAGTGTACGACGTTCTTTAACGTGCACATGGGCCATAAATGCACACGGGACCAACGGCTTAAACGTCTCATCCGAAAGACGGTGCGCTATTGTAACTTGTATTTCAGCCCTCTAGCTGAAACACAAGGAGAGGCAGCGATGGGATGAACCAGGGACCATAGAGATCTCGATCCACGGTTCAACGCACACATAGTGGCTATCACCAGATTAGCCGACTGAGCTAAGCTGCTCTAAGCTGCGGTAAAATAAGGAGCGCTGCAGTCATATTGGCATTTATCAAGCGCAGAACTTGACCAACGCAATTCTATGGAATATAGAAACCTACAACATGATTTCAACGGATCATTTTTAATGATAACCCATTCAGCAGACTGCCACCGACTATCAGCAGACAGCGTCACGTTATCTAGCACTCAAGGGAGGGGAATTAGATTCGTCGTAAGACACAGCGAGTAACCGGCTTAAAATGTCTCATCGGATAAGATCTATACAGTAGGCCCAGTGTGGGTGTCCCGAAAGCTCACATCTATAGAACTGACTAATCATGAAATAAACACCAGTAAGTATCATCGATACCAGCATAGGCCCCTATTTGCGATGTTTACTGGAGAAAACAAATACAGTTCAAAGAAACCGTTGTACGTGTACAGGCTATTCGCATTCCACGGAACCGTACGGTACGGTTTAGGTAGGTTTTCGATAGCGGTTTCTAATGCTCATCGTGCGAATATCCGATATTATGGTTTTCGATCGTTCTCGCTCTTTATATTTTAACCATGCTTTGCATATTTTTGAATTATTTTAAGTCTTTTTGCTGCTTTTTATGATGTTTTGGAAATCGATGTTTAATTTTCATCATTGTACATGTTACTTTTGATTCCAAAATCTTCTTTATTTGTTTGTTTGTATATTCGGTATCAAAATATTATAATACAAAAGATAAAATTACTAAAACCAGGTCCAGCGGAGGGGGGGCTGTTCCACACCCTTTCCCCCGTCAGTCCAGCCTAAAAATAAAAGAGTGAGAAAGAAGAGTGCCCGTATTAATTCTATAAACTTTTTAGGAATGGCTATTTCTAAAACAGCTACTTCATCATTGGTGTAACTAAAGTGTAGGCCTGTAAGAAATCTACTAACAGGAGCTTTATTGTTGCTAAATGAATTAATAATTTTAAGAATTTCATTTTCACCTGTTGGGTTTAGAAATAATAATTATTAATATTAATGTTGAGATTATGATAGTCATGTAGACAATAAATACAAAAGAAGTCTTGTACACACTATGCCTAATAGAGCTTACAAATTATCGTCAACCAAGGAATTATTTCCTTAAGAAGTTAATGATATTGAAACTATGTTTGATATATTAAATTAACCAGCGGAATTAATCAGTGGTATCATTAATGATTTTAAAAGATCTATTGTTAATACAACCAACAATAATATTATTACTACTAGTCAAGAAGCTGTCGAGCAACTTATTAGAATTGTTCTACTTTTTAAAGATCAAACTTGTTCCAACACCGTACTTAAACAACTTAAACAGCTTAGCTCTAAGATTAATAAAGATATTATGCCCGTATTCACTAGCAGGAAGATAGGTGAAATCTTGAAATTAAATCGAAAGAAAGTAAACCTAAGATTGTTAATGAACGTTGTTTATAAATTTCAATGTGGCTTGTGCGATGCAAGCTATGTTTGCTAAACACTTGTTGATACCTTTATCAACGCATTGATGAGCACACCTAAGGTAACATAGGACAACATTTAAAAGATCTTAATATTAGTGCTACTGAAATTGTTAAATGTTTCAAGGTTTTATCTAGGTGCAAAATGCAAATAAAATAATAACAATAAAATAAAATAAAAATAATAGTCATGATAACAATAATAACAATGAGACTAAACTACTCCTTTTCCTTAAACTAATTAATAGTTGGCCATTGACT